TTTTTTTTTTTTTAGCAATGGAAACAAATTTCATCAATACCAATAAATTCAATTCCTTTAATAGATATTTTTCATATAAAACAAAGTCAAATGAACACCAAAAAATACTTTAAATTAAATATTTTTCACGTGAAAAATTATATCAATCAAACACAATAATTTACAATTCTCAGAAAAATAATTATCCATTAATTCAATTCCCTAAAATTCATTTTCTTTTCACCTAAATTTCATTTTTGTAATCAAACGGATCCTAAAGTTTATTACCGTCTCCTCCTAGAATAACTAAAAAGAGACTTCAAAAGTTTAAATTGTTTTCACACAGATTGATTTGACATCCGATAATTTATAAGCAAAAATCATGAATCTACTACCCACATAAAATAAAATAAAAACCTTACAATGTGTACATCAAAATTTACATAATGTCTACATAGCACTCTATTATTTGCCAATTTAAAATATAGTTAACTTTTTCATTCAATCTTTTTCACTCTACATCATTTTCGATAACTATTATGTACCATTTTTATGTACAAATAGCAAAATTCAATAAAAGATCCACATATATCTTTGTAAATCTCACTTAAAACCAATTATTTGCTACAATTATTTTCCTCTAATGGTGATGGGATCAATCATTCGTAATCCAATAATCTCAAATGGCACAAGAACGGAACAAAATGTTTCCATGTATCTTTGTCAATCTCTTGACTCAACTACTATCGTTAATACAACTTCTATTGTGTACGATATGTACTAACGAAGACAACCAAACATTAAATACAAAATCAACTTCATCTCGACGACACCAAATTTCTGATTATACAGTTAAATTTCATAACACAACCAACTTCCAACATCTGCCCATGAAACCATATCAGCCAAAGATAAACGAAAAACGAAGTGTACGAGCCTTAGTCATGGCGTTTTATTATTGATTTACGAATTCAAAAGCACTTCTAAGAAACTATGAAAACTATGGATCCAACACTATAATCTACGTTACATTGTCACAAACTGAAAATATTTCACCTCAGAACCACACAAGCAGCATAAAACCAGTCTAATCATAATCTTTTATTAAGTTTGATACTGATACAGTGCAAACTGACTTCTGATGTAAATAAAATTAACACATGCTCGATTTCGTAATGCAATACTATGTCGTGGTGCGTTACATTTATCACCATCGAATATACCATATACATTTCTATGTGGGGAAAAAACAAAAACAAAAAACCACTAATTTACCCTGCACCTCTAAGTTTTAAACTGCCTGCTAAAGTTGGAAGATCTCGAAATGAAGCACATATAGCAAATAATTTACATTGCGGGATATTTCATTGTACCTGCAAGTCTGGATGTCGAGAAGATGAAACTCTATCTTTAGGAAAACCGTCCCGAAGATTCAGTGATAACATCGTTCCTCGTGTTAAAAAGTTGGAGGTTCGATGGTGCTCGATTGAGGCTCAAGAATACATTATGCAGATGCATGGCAAATGTTAATAGCCCCTGCAATCAACGGAACAAATCTGGGAAGGACCACATTATAAACCTTGCAAAGACATCTGTTTCGAGGAACTCTATATGAGCGGCCCGTCCAATTATGGTATTGAGGTTTCTCCCTTGCAACGAGATGTCAAAATTAACATCACATCGCATGAATACCCGGTTCTCAAAAGATGGTGCACGTATTTGGTCCAAGCAATTGTTAAGCATCTCCAGAAAAGCTTTGCCTTTTTTTGAGGAGTCGCCTGAAGATGCTGGGCACATTTCAACTCTAGCAGAATGATATGGAACATAACCATCCTGAGAGCACGTAACCATCAAATAGTTAGAATACGAAGTCATTTCTGGGAAACTCTAAGTTCAGGAAGAGATTGTTTGGTGCGTATGATTAGATAAGATTAGAAAATACAGTGGACCAGATTTCAGGTTCCTTTTCTTCCTATGACATGCCATAGTGTTTTTGTTGCACTCAAGTAACCCTCTAGCAAGACTAAATTACTCACATAAAACAATGTACTCGAAAGGGTCCTGCCTATGTGTCCATTATCACAACATGGTGGTACTCCATGTGACATAGGAATGTAACTATTTGACAATGAACAAGAAAAGGAACAAGAAAGTGTGGGACAACCATTGAATGGTCTATAAAAAGAACTCAAAAAAATGTCAAAGTAAAATACCTGGGGTGAAGATAACAGAATGATATTCCTGAAATTCTCCAACGTCTTTTCCTGAGTAATATGGAGAAAAAGTATACGAACATCAATGGGCAAGAAAGAAAGTAGAAACTGTCATTTTTTTTTTTCAGTCAAGGTAAATTCTAATGCTGGTAGCTTATAAACATTGTGGGAGATAACATAAGGTTCAACGCATCGAAAATGAAAAAGAATTTGGACACAATGATTCAAAAAACACATTCTGAATGCCTGGAACTCAATTTTGACCTTCTCAACATCTCATCCAGCTGGGTCCATATGGAATTTTAATTACCTGTTCGCACTTGATAAAAACAGAAACACACATACTAAGGGGAATGTGGAGTCAAACAGTACCTTGCTAAGTTTGTACAAGAAAGTATTTTGAAGATCAGGATCATCTGTAAAAGTCAGCTGATGAATGCACTGTGTGCCCTTGAGCTTTTTCAAGAGCCATAAACCACCATTAAATAAAGAGTTTGAACTGTATAGGTAACCTAGATGTGGTCCAGAAATAGAGAGATAAGTATGCAGGTATCTCAGATATGGTTCCATAATGCTATCTGCAAAAGTAGAGAAATATTTAGAAACATTCAAGATAACTGGAGAAACCCCTCAAGCTTCAGCATCAAACCTGTTAACGCAGTTCTCAAAATAATGTTTCCAATCGAATGTCCAACAAAGCTAAGCTTAATAGTTCTGAGGACTCCAGATCTTGAGAATTTGTCCATCTTCTTTTTCACAAAAGATACAACTTCCTGTGCCAATCTTTGTCCCATTTCCCTAAAGTCTCCAGAAGTTTTCTCTTCATTAACCTCTGACATAAGAAACTCTACCTTGGGATCTAACAGGAGCCATTGATTCCGGACAAGCCGTAAATCCAGATGATGTCCCTGTACACGTCAACATTGGGAAAGAAATTTTATATACCTAGAGCAATAACTTGTAGAAATTCAATGCAATACAACAAATAAAACTAACTTTACTTTTTCTCTGTCACAACAAGAAACATCATAAAAGTCAAAATAAGCCGATAAAAGTTGTTTATGCTACAGAATGTAAAAGTAGTATAGACCTGCATGATCATAACACAATTTAACAATATCTCTAAGTAGGCTCCTTGATTATTTATAGCCCAATATCTATTTCTTGTGTGATTACAGAGATTCCACTCCAAATAGAATGTGGGTTACTCTTCACTTCTGGGTCATTGTCGTGCTACCATGTGTAAAGTACAATTAGCTAGGTTACAGAGAATTTATCACACCTAGATTCTTTAGACGCCACACATAAGACAACACAATAATAAGTAACTTTCAACAAATTTTGAACCACTGACCAGCAATCTAATAGAGAAGTTTTTGGAGTATTAAACTTTAATAGGTAATGCACAATACAAGCATAAAATGGTGATAAAGACAAGCTAAAAGGACTGTGAATTCATTATGCCGTAGGTATTATTAACATGCCTGAAATCCATGGACAAAAACTACAATCTTCAGGACACGACTGCTTTGACGATTGCTGGCAACAGATAACTTGTTTGTGGGAGTAGAGTCACCGCCAGAGATCAGACTGCTTCTACCTTTTTGGTCCAGTTGGCTGAAGTAAGAATTTCCACTGCCTGAACGCAAAGGTACGTCCACAACACGTTCTACAATTACAATGGGGATACGAGATGGATCTCCAAATATATGCATATCTTGAATACACCGATTGTTGATCTGTTAAGAAGCAATACCTGCTCAAACACCCAATGCACTGAAGATAATATTAATTTGCGCTCTTTATAAGAACTCACCCTCATTTGTGCAATACTTCGCCTATGAAGCTCTGCTCGCATAGCCGCAGTCTGGACAGGCTGCATAGATCACTAGAAAAAATAAATAAAACCCCGGAATATAAAGCTAAGAGAAGAATTGCTGATGATGAACAAATAAGAAGTTAGAAATGTTGGTGCAATTACATCGCCAGTTAGCTTCCGTAGAACGGGTGCTCTACCATGTAATGCATGGTAAGAAGACTCAGCCACCTCACTCCTTATATACTGATGAGGCATCTCGACCTTAGTGTGAACCATCCAGATTGACCATTCAGCTTTACGATCAATAGCCCATTGGTTACACAAAAATTCAAGGATCTTTGTTTTGTTAGCCCTGGAAAGTCAAAATAGGATCAGTATCTGAACTGATGCACTCATTGGCAAGCACTGATAAAATTATCCGTCTTAACAATTACACGAAATGAACAACGGGGAAATAATAATTGTTTTTTTCTCCATAGTAAGTTTCATATGTCATAATTCCAAGTTTCAACACATTAGAAATTTACACCAAGTCTACACCTCAAATAAGACTCATAAGAAGGGTCCAGATGTCAAACTCATTCAGCGAGCAATTTACTCTTACCTTTCAGTGACGATCAAAATATAATACTACAAATATTTGTAACAAATTCAGTATCTCTCCCTTTCCAAGAATGTGGTCCCCAAAATTCTATACTATCTGCCCTTGTCTGGCAACTTCATGCCTAGGATCTGCAGGCACAATGAGGCAGCCTGCCACTGGAGAACGACCAAGGAAGAAAGTTTGAAGCGGTAGTTCATCATGGGCTGGTGATTTTCCAGTAAATCCTTATGATGCTATACATGCAAGACCATTAATGCAGGCAATAAAAGTGAGTATAAAGGGAGAAAGTTGGGAATATTGCACGCTTTCTTGAAGATATTTGATCATTTAAATTAGCACTTCAACTAATTAAATCAAATCTGACTTTTTTGATAAAGTAATTTTTATGAGGTCACACATAAAATTTTGCAGAAATCCTGGAGAAAAGGGTTTCTTGGGGTTAAGTATGGTTTTATCAATCTTCGCATGCCTAGGACAAATTAACTTGGTATTCTTGTCATTTGAAGTTTTTAAATTCTTATATTGCTTCTGAAACAAAATGGACAACTGATTTGAAAAGTTATTTTGACTGCAAGATTCAATGAAACCATGTGATGCCATGGGATCTAAGTGCCATGTCTAGTTTTCTTTCTTTATTTATGGAACTCAAACCTTTAACAAGCAAAAACTTCACGAAATCTGTGAGCAGTGCTGTTGAATACTGTTCACCAGATCTCTACTCTATATATCTTTATCTTGATTTCTTTGAGCTATAAATCCAAAGCCACTAAATAATAAAACAGAAACGTTTGTCTTTTCCCCTGATTTGCTTGAACTCGCCTGATTCTAAAGTTCTTCATATTAAAAGATAAGTGCAAAAGCATAAAATCCGGATCCCCTGTATTGTGATTTTCTTGAAATACAACATTCAATGAGAGCCATCTATCAACATCATCTTTTGACTCGATTTAAGCACAACTTTTACGTTCTTAGAAGTAGTAAACACTCTTAAGTGCATGTTTGATACATAGTGTTGGAATATATAATAAGCAAAATTTTAGCTTCTTTTTCTTGTGTAGTACTATGTAGTGCCATTCAGTCCTCTCAACCAAACATGCTATAAATGTTCTCTACAAAAAATTTCCTTCAGAATCCATCACTGTAACCATATCACACATGAGGAGTAATTGACAATTTAAAATTTCACCGTTCTCACTCTTGACTATACCATAATCATCTCTAGGAATTAAAACCCCAAAATACCTTGCACTTCTTGCTCCACATCAAGAAAATATTTTAAATATTTTCCTATGTCCCATGACGAGTAAAAACTTTTATAACTCAATTCTTATACAAATCCATTATGAAGAGGATAAAACTGACTCTGACCATTAAAAAAACATCTTTTATACTAGTTTATGTAAATTTTAAGGAATGGAAAAAAAAAAAATTGAACTAAAAGGCTGTGTTACAAAAAGTAGAAAATGACCTGTATATTTGTTCGATAAAATGGAGTATGAAGGGTAAAAACAAACCTGTGAAAATTCAGAAAAATACTCCATAGGTAGAATACTTGATTTCCAATTGAATCAAAAGGGCTAGATGTGCCCTTAGATAAGGAATGTGGAAAATCATCTACATGAAAATCAACCCCACCATTTGGTTTCTGTTCAAGCAACAAATAACTGATGATGATGGCTCCCAACAAAACGTGACATTAGAAACAGTTACAAAATATTTTGAAGCGGCAAAAGCGCAACAGGTATGAGGAAATTTTAATAGCATCAAATCAATAAAAGGACCTCGGAAACATTTTGGAGCTCGTTCGAAATTTTTCCAGAACTTTCAGCATTGGGTTTTTCCAGATCAGATCTTGGATTGATAGCATATAATCTGTTAACATCTTTCATATCAATTGGTTGATTGATAGCCTTGCTAAGCTTTTGTAGCTCTTCAATGAGTATGTCACGAGCACTTGATAATTCTTTGACAAGCATGTCCTGTTTTAGAAACACAACAAATGTCAACAAAAATTTTGGTCTGCATATGACCAGAAGCAACTCAAATAGAAATTTCTGTATGTTGGGAACTGCAAATTCAATGGTACGTAACATTGATTCAAAACGGTGGTCAAGTGATGTGATAGCATACAGATCACATAATTAAAAAATTACAAAAATAATAATAATAGAACAGTAGAAAGCATTGTCAATATAGAAAGGATCTATGATTTCAACAACAGAATTGTTAAAATGGTGTCTAAAGGGCTACTTTATATATTATCTCAAGATACTTTAGAATTTATGGAAGTGAAGAAATCTACTATCAACGATAGAATTGCAGATTACAGAAAAGTAATAGAAAAAAAAAATTATCCAACCAAAAAATTGAAATAAACACATTAAGTGTGAATTCTGTTCAACAGGAAGAGCAAGGAAAAGTTGACTATAGAACATTCATCCTGGAATACTACTTAACGTGTTTTGACTTATCGCGATCTCCAACAATAGCATCTTCATCAGCTCCAGAATCACTGAAAGGATAGAAATGCCTTCATCAGTTCAACATATTCAATTCAACAAAAAAACATGATATTAAAAAGTCTATTCAAAAAATGAGACAAAAGCTTCTTTGAGTTGCAAAGAATCAATAGGTAATCAAAGAAACACCAAAAATGATTTTTGATACATAAAAGAAAAATTAAATCTAATACCTAGGAAACGGAAGTTGCTACCAAAAAAAACGGAAGTTACGACAAACCTAGGTACTTCCAGGGAAGCAGAGGAAACCTCACTTTTCAGCATGCACGAATGTACAGTTATATCAACTAACACAGCATGAAAAGCATCAAAATGAACAGGGCAATAGGAATGCAACCCCAAAAGAGCTTTAGGGGGGAGCCGAAATTCATGGACTGCAGTTGGGCTTGCATCCAATGACACCTGCAAATTAGACCTGCAAATTGTGTTCTAAAATCACCAAGTACAGAGCCTAAGTGAAGTTTAATGTGCTTAAATATTTACTTCATACGGAGACATTGAAAATATAGATATTATCCACTAACCTCTTCTCAAGTACAGGAGCATACATGAGCTCAAATTTCAGAATAACAGCTAACGTGGATGGACCCTGGTAACCATAATACGCATTCAGTTGCTGTGATACACCAATAGCACTGAAATCTGAAGGTATATATGCATTCAAGCACGTTTAAAGGATATGAGAGACTAATGTTACATCTCTCAAAAGTGGTCTTTAACAAACTTATGTCAGAAAGGGCAGCACTGTATATGATCTACCTAAACCAAATAAGTGTTGACATCTCTTCTAAGAAGGATAATTGCCATTCTGAAAGATTATTTCAATTCATGACATCATTTTCCTTCAATTTTTGGCTGCACTAGACGAGTTATACCACTTGTCTCCAAAATATGTATATACCATTATTCAGTTTTCAATATCCCCCCCCCCCCCCCCCCCCCCCCCACACTTCCCCCCCCCCCCCAGACCCCAATTCAGGAGCTGTACGGATAAAAGTTAATTTGGTAATAAGTGTAGTCCTTAGATTTGTTCATCAAACAAAATTCGGTGAAACAGATCCAGGCAAGTGACCAATTGAGAAATAAAAAGGGGATCACAAACCAAAAAAGTACTCGGTACCTTCATATTGAATAACTCTAGCTGGAGTTACCAAAGAACCATAATCACCATCTTCCCACCTCATTGTAATCTTAATCTGATACCATCTGAAAATTGGAAACAAATGCTGGATCAACATAACCAAATAGTGAAAAAGAAAATGAAAGAAAAGGAAGTCAACTCAGTTTTATGCTTACCCTTGCTGAAATAGGTCTAGGTTGTGAAATCGATGAATATAAATGGCAATCTCATGCACAGCATCCAACATTGGCTTATTAGACTTTTTATAATTAGTCTTGAGATTGTTGGGATTCACTGGTAGTTGTAGCTTCTGCTCTGGCAAGAGAAGAGGCAAAGGCTTCACATCAGTATTCTCCAACCTCTTCGGATTTACTGTTGCTGATCTATTAAAACCAGGTATCATCCATCTCAAACGCTGTAGTAAAAGTGACATTAATTGTGATTTTCTGTGATGAAAATTTGCATCCCTGTAGTTCCTTGTACCCTGACCCAATTTTTTTAGGTCGGGTTTAGTTTTCAAGGGAAAGAGATTTCACCAATTTCAACAATATAGCGCCCAAGTTACTGATTTGGAAGAAGGAAGTTTCGAAACTCCTGCTAGCAAGAGTAGAAGAGAAAACTCAGACGAAAGTGACCCCCTTCACCAAAGGCTTCTGCACCATTAGATACAACATTGAGGAAGAAAATAAGAATAGAACTAACAAAAAACTGACTACATTTTAATTCTATTGAAATTTGCAAAGAAACAATAACAGGTTTGTAAATTTAGCTTCCAGGCTATAAATATTACTGAAGAATAGAATTATTAACAAATATTATGCAAGACAGAATTTAAGCCCCTGTTTGAACTCCATTCTTTGAAAACTCATTTTTTCCTGAACTCATTTCCTGCGACGCACTCTTCCAACAAAAAAAATTCATACTTTTTAACCACATACACTCCAAAAAAATCAATATTACAAAACTCATTTTCCCCTAGAAAGGGGCTCAAACGGACGCTAAAGTTGGCAATAACTTTTTCCTGAATAAACAAGTTTGACAGCTCCCCCTCTTGTTCTTGAAATTACAACAACTCTCCTTTCTGATAATTATTGAGGGATCCCCCATAACAAACACAATTAGAGTCATTACAATTTGAGCTTCGTAGGCAGCAGATATCTTGATTGAGACAATTAGATAAAGTCATAAATCAAAATTCTTCAAAATTTTCGGTTATAGCTGACAGATGCAAGCAGTTATATCTAAATCGTAAGTCAAAATTCTTAGAAGTACAATTTTTTCGAGCTATTAGTTAAAAGTAACCATTAGCCAAACGATCTGCACATCCATTTAAGATAAAAGTAAGCATCAAACTGACAGGTGTAAGCACTATATTTTGTGACTGAGAAACTATAAACTTTTGGTTCACAAGCAACCCAACGAGCTTTCAATTGCTATAGACCGTGCCAGTTTACACAGCATAAATTGCTCAGAAATGTTGGAATGCACCAAAAAATAAAATAGAGCTCTCAATGAGAAAAGATCTAAGGATATTGAAAAGGACTGATTATACCCCGTACATGGTGAGCTTATTTACAGGCAACAACAACGTATTTGCTATGAACTCTAGACATATCATAGTCAAATTTAAAACGTTACAAATAATAAGGATTTCTGTTAAAATTTGCTATATACTCTAGATATATCATAGTCAAATTTAAAACATTACAAATAATAAGGATTTCTGTTAAAATAAATTACGGGATAAATAAAATTGAAAATGTAAGATTTTGAAAAAAATTTAAATTACAATGTTGCTCTTTCTATGAAGTATATTTCTCGTAAAAATAATGGCAAGTAATTAGAATCTCCATGCTGAACTTTTTGAAAATCCACAAGTCCTCAAAGAATATGGATTCCAGAATCCAGATGCTAATGTATTCTGTCAATACCAAGCATACTCTACAACTCTATAGTACCTAATAAAGCAACTGTATATGATAAATCTCTTCTATGGATAACAAACAGTAAATCTTCCTCCACGAGCTAATAACTTCAGCTAAAACAAATCCCAAAATCCATGTCAGTCCATATTTAATCTAATGGTAAGCCTTGCCTTGTTTTCTTTACACAAACCATCTTCTTATGTAAGCCCACCTCAGTCCAATCTCGTAGAGCTTCAAGCTGAAAATTGGTCCTATGGCACCTGTACTTGTGAAACTCTCCAACACTCATCAATAAAAGACTACCCCCAAGATCATTAACTTCAGCTACTGTATCCTTAATTATTCAAAATGACAGCCAAAATGTTATAGTTGTTACAACAACTGTGAAAACAAACTTGATCCATTTCCCATTTCCAACCATGAAAACTTGCAGCTTAACAAAGTCATCCCACCCATTCAACCAAACAAACAAAATCAAGTTTATAAAATTGGTTTTTATTGAATCTCAAAGAGAGTAGATCAAGAACTTGGAAATAAATCGTTGTCTGTCAGAACTAAAACAAGATGCAAGAGAGGATAAGCATCCAATTTATTCTGATATATCCTAGCTAGCAAGAAAGGATCTTTATATTAAATGCTTCAGCTATTACAATTACCACAATAAACCCACCAAAAAAATTAAAATTTATACAATAGAACTTACTTCTATCATATATAATTCCAAATTATGAATATACTTTCCATTTTAAAATAAATCCTTAATTCACAGCCCAATTGAAATAAATGACACCATAAGATCAATACAATAAAGAACAATCTAAAACCCACTTTCTACGGAAATGCATATAACTCAAAACAGAAATACAGACTACAGGATATAGAAATGTGCGTGTGTATCGAAATTCACGAGCACTGCATTTATAATCACTGATCTATATAATGGGTTTTTGGAATTTGGTTGGAGAACCTGGAAACGGGGTTTTCCTCAACCCTTTTATGGCCAGCGAATGAGCAGTAGCGGTAAGTTAACTGGTGGTGGATGTTTGATCTAGCCGGTAACGAAGGCGCGTGAGGTGGAGCGGCGATTTGCGGCGGAGAGAACAGGGGACGGAGTTCAAGAACTCAACGTTTTTTGGGGGACGAGTTGATTCTAAAGGATAAAAATTAGGATAAATAATATATTTCTTTATTCTCTTTTTTCTTAGTTTTTTTAAAGAGAAATTTCTTCAAAACGGACTACGGACTTGTTTGATAGGTCTTAAAAATCAATTAAAATCAATTTTTTTATTGTTATTTTACTATTTCAATCGTTATTTTTGAATTTTTTTTCTTACGGGTAGGATTCACCTTCTCTTTAACAGTCAAAAAATTAATTATCAAAATTCCTACCAAACAAGCACTAAATTAGACTTAGAGGGTTATAAACATTAAAAATAGCCTTAAGAAAGACAAAATTGATAAGACAACAAAAGAGAAAAAGAAAAAACAAACAAACTTTTTATGTTTTTATTTGAATTCTACTTCACCCTCTTTCTTCTAACTAGTAACATGGGCAATTCATACACGTTATTGAGAGAGAAATGCCAAGTTCTATTCACTAACTTTTACAGATAGTAGTGCCATCCAGGTTGTGTTTTTCATGGAAGAGAATTAAGGCTATGTTTCATTGCATTCCAATTTCATGAAAAATGAAAAACAAATTTCAATTTTTCAATTTTTTATTATTTACTTGACAAACTTTTCCCTATAATTCGAATTCCACATTTTATGCCACGTAAGCAAATTTCCATATTTTCCTTAAATTACAATTCTCACCAAAATGGGGAGAATTTAAATTCTCAGTTATTGTAGCACTTTTTTTATTTTTTCAATTTTAATTTTTTTTATGGCAATGGAAACAAATTCTAAGAATTATTGTAAAAAAATATTTCCCTTTAAATGACAATTTTCATGCAAAACAAAGTCAAACGAACATTAAAAGATAGATGATTTTCTTGAAATTTTTTTTTTTTTTTTGTGTTGGCAATGGAAACAAATTTCATCCCCGATACCAATAAAATATGTCCTTTTAATTGATAATTTTCATGTAAAATAAAGTCAAACGGAGATCAAAAAACACTTTTATTTCAACATTTTTCACATGAAAAATTATCCCAATCAAACACAATAATTTACAATTTTCAAAAAAATAATTTCTAGGCAATTCAATTCCCTGGAATTCGTTTTCAATTTAATTCAATTCCATCTTTGCAATCAAACGGACCCTAATATTCTAAGGATTCGCAAAGATGAAATTTAGGTGGAAAGAAAACGAATTTTAGATAATTGAATTGCCTAGAAATTATTTTTCTAAGAATTGTCAATTTATTGTGTTTGATTGGTATAATTATCCACGTGAAAAATGTTGAAATAAAAGTATGTTTGGTGTTCGTTTGACTTTGTTTTATACGAAAATTGTCAATGAAATGGATAAAATTTACTAGTATTGGAGTTAGAATTTGTTTCCATTGCCAAAAAAAATTCAAGAAAATCATCTATCTTTTAATATTCGTTTGATTTTATTTTACATAAAAATTTTCAAATAAAGGGAACTATTTTTTTAGAATAATTCTTAAAATTTGTTTCCATTGCAAAAAAAAAAAAAAATGGAATTCACCTTCCCACCAATAAATTCCTTCAAATCAAGGAAAACAGGCGTGTGAGAAGGCACTGTGAAATTCACTTTCAGTGAAAATTTTTTGCAATCAAATACTCACAATTGGCCAAGATGGAAATTAATTTCCATTTTTCATGAAAAGTAATGCCTATCAAACGGAGCCTAATAGTAATTTAATTTAAAAATTGCATGAGGACGATCTCTCAAATAATACGTTAAGAAATTATTGATCCTTTTATTCTCGACTCCCTCACTTGAAAGGGCAATCATTGTAAATTTGTAATGTCTCCACCATAATATTTTTACCGCACGGCAATGAATTAAGATACTTGCTAGTATGCACATTTCAAGATGTACGTGCCCTTCAATAATATCCTCGTCTTCATAGTTGGCTAACATTTTGGCGATTATTGTTTTTGTTGAGGTTTTGATCGAGGAAGAAATTGATGAAATGACAAAAAGAATATATTTCTTGTCTTCGTTTCAAACGAGCAAAGTTTATTTATAGTCATACTACTTTACCGCTCAACATTGAAAAAGTTATTCGTCCTTCATTTCCAAGTCTAACCATCTATTTCCCCTATTTATTTACTTTTAAAAATGTTTATTTATTTATATAATAATTAGTCCCCAACGAAAAACAAAAACCAATCCAGAGTGTTTTGAACGAATTAAAATTTTCATGACAAACTGGGTATGCGATGAGTATAGTTCCCCTCTCACTATTTACATAAAAACTCTCTAATCGCGTTTAAGAAACTGGCGATTTTTATTTTTATGTAGTGTTTTTCGTAATAATCAAATAAAAAATGTTTACTTTTAAATATCTTCATTGCCAGTGTCCAATTTAACCTTCTAAAATATAAATTTAACAATATAGTCGCAATCCTCACCCTTACGCACTTTTTCATTTTCTATTGTTATATTCTTGCGTAATCATTCCCCTATCTTATTGATTACCTTCAATCATACTTTTTGTTTCTCTGCGATAAGATGTTTCATCTTTTACTCTGAAAATGGGAGTGTGCGTGACATGTGTACAGAAATTTTGTCACAAAAGTTTTTCAAAATATACACAGTGTGGGCCCGAGAATTGTGAGTTTTCTGTACCCTTTCTGAGAAAACTTTGTTTGTACGTGTAGAAGAGTTCACTTATGTAACAGTTAATGAGTCGTAAATGACCCGATTCGTAGCCTCGATACTATGACTATTTAACTGCTAGAGACCAACTTCGTAATGAGGTAATAAATTGAAATTTGGTTGTTGAATGAATGGTTATCGAGCTATAGGCAGTGTTACTATTTAATAACTAAATTTTGAAATGTAGCCCTACACTCAACATCAATATGAGTAGCCCATCAATCAGTAAGAATGATTATGTTTAATAGCTGTACCAGAATTGTCAATGTGACACGGAGTAATTCCAATGGCACATTTTGGAATTAAATTCAGGCCAAATCAACAAATATGAAAGACAAAGAAAAGAGGAAATTTTTTAACTTGGAGTTGATTAAATGAGTGCGTATTGAATTCTATTCATGGTTACCACTTGTTCACAGAAAAATAAATGATTACAAATGCACATTGAATTATTCATTTTCAATTCACGTCCATTTCCAAATCACTTCCATCTCCAATTGACAATCCCATGTTTGTAATTCACATTCTAGAAGTTCCCTATTTACGTCCCTAATTAATCATAAAAAAATGTTATGAAAAGAGGAAAAAATGTCAATAAACTTGTATGTATTTTGCTCAGAAAAATGAGAGTTTATGTGACATGAAGGGGGGCAGAGAGCTGCTCTCTAGAAGATTCATGAACTTAAGTAACGGTTAATGAGTCGTGAATGACTCGCTTCGTAGCCTCGATACTATGACTATTTAACGGCTAGAGACCAACTTCGTAACGAGGTAATAAATTAAAATTTGGTTGTTGAATGAATGGTCATCGAACTATAGGCAGTGTTACTATTTAATAACTAAATTTTGAAATGTAACCCTATGACCACTTAACATCAATATGAGTCGCCCATGAATCATTAAGAATGATTATGTTTAATAGCTGTGACAGAATTGTCAATGTGACACAATTGGCACATTTTGGAATTAAATTTAGGCAAAATCAGCAAAATATAAAGAGAAAGAAAAAAGGAAAAAAAATAATTTTTTTTGACTCGGAGTTAATTAAATGAGTGCGTATTAAATTTTATTCATGGTTACCACTTGCTCATCGAAAAAGAAATGATTATAAATGCTTGTTGAATTATTCATTTTCAATTCACGTCCATCTCCAAATCACATTCATCTCCAATTGACAATCCCATGTTTGTAATTCACATCCCAGATGTTCCCTATTTACGTCCCTAATTAATCATAAAAAAATATTATGAAAAGAGGAAAAAAATGTCAATAGATTTGTATGTATTTTATTAAGAAATAAAGTCCGATATTTACAAGAAAGAATTAGGGATACAACGATAATAATTTTTAAGATAATATGGGTACAATTGTCATTCAATAATAAATTTACCGTTTACAAAACTTCCCCTTAAATGACAATTATAAAATATATGCCTCATAAAAATCTTATTTGATAAAACCCCAATGACACAAAAATCAAACGAAGGAAAAATGTACAATTATTTTAGAATATTAAAAATAAATGCTACCTCATTAAAACCTTGTTAAAAGAACTCAATAGTCTAAAGCTTAAGTGAAGGAAAAATAGTACAGCTACTCCCCCTAATATTGATAACTGAAAATATTTGAGTCGATTCATTCCAATCTCATGAACCAAAATCTTGAATGTAGATGTCGACAGTGCTTTTGTGAATAAATCGGCCACGTTATCACTTAAGCAAATTTATTGGATATTGATGTCACCATTCTTTTAAAACTTATGTGTATGAAAGAGTTTTGGAGAAATATACTTCGTTCTGTGACTTTTGGTACAATCGCCTTTGAGTTGTGCAATACAAGTTGTATTGTCTTTATATGAAATTGTTGGACTACCTTTTGTTAAAGTTGACTCCATGATGCTTGGATATAATAGGTTACGTTTCTCAACCATACACATTTTCGATCTGCTTCATAGATTGCAATAACTTTAAAATAATTTGAGGATATTACAGTCAATGATTATTTAATAAATCTCCATGATATAGTTGCTTTTTCACATGTAAACACATATCATGTTTGTGGTTTAACTTTATGTGTATCAGAAAGATAACCTACATTTGCGTATCTCACTAAAGCAGTTTCCAACTTTTGATAATATAATAATCCCAAATCAATAGTACCGTTTAGGTAACAACAAATATGTTTAACACAATTTCAATGTCTTTGAGTCGATGTAGAGCTATATCTTAAAAGGAAATTTACAGAAAAAGTTATGCCTGGTTGAATATAGTTTACAAGATAAATTAATACTCCAATTGCACTAAAATATGGTACTTTAGGATCGAGAACATTTTTTCCATCTTTAAGTGGACGAAACAGATCATTTT